GGCAATTGTAATTTGCACAATTTTATGGTAAATGGAAACACAGCTGGTGTCTAAAACTAAACCTTTCCTCTTGTGATAACCAGAGTTATCTGTATTTGCTAAACGGCAGAAAGTTAGGAGAGCATTTTTTAAATTCTTCTAATTCACTTTTAACACACAGTTGTAGAGTTGTAGTCTTTCAAGAGCAGATGTAATTTGAATTGAAGTCAGCACTTTAGCATTAGCTTCCACTACATACCACATTTGCATAGTACTTTAGTGGAACTATTTTTGTTTAGCGCTGTAGAGTTTGCATAACAAAACTTTTAGCTAGCAGTGCCAAACGCTGACAAAATCATAAAAAAAGGAAAGGCAGACTGAAAACGTTGATGTTGAAGCATTTTTGTTGTGGACGTCATTGATGAACTCTGTCTCTTAAATCTCTGTATTCATTTCAATCCACTTTGATCGTTGATCTTTCAGATAAAATTCTGATGTTTGTGATTCTAACATGAAAAGAACGAAGAAGGACACAGAAATGTGAAAACTTTTGAAGTAAAATTTGGGGAAACCTGCGTATTCTCTCTGCCGCTGAAGGGAAAATCAGAGCAGCTTCATACTCAGACTGTTTTAACTGCTTACATTAGACTGTCATAAACTGCAGACAGAACCTACAGTGAGAGACTGCAGGCCTCACTGCGTTTGCCAGATACGTTTTGGACAGAGACTAGACTCAGAGCAGCGTGACAGATTGCAGAGGAAGCTTCTTTTTTCCAGCGTGACCCTTGTTATTACGTTTTCTTCCATGACTATGTTGCACATCAATACTCTGCAGGATGTTAAAACCTGATCATTACAAGTTTGGATTTCCTTCCTTTGGGGAAAAAAAAAAAAAAAAAAAAAAAAAAAAACATCTGAAGATGTTGAGATGTTGGATTACTCTGTTTAATTGTAAGGGGACATGAGTTCCCTCACTGTCCACTTTTAAAGCTCGTCTTAAAACCCATCTATTTTACTTGGCTTTCAACTCCAGCGGGATCTAGTTTTAAATTGTATGTTTGTTTTTAACCTGTTGTTCACAGGTTGTCATTCACAATGACAGGAGTGTCAAACTCCAGTCCTCAAGGGCCGCTGTCCTGCAGTGTTTAGATGTGCCACAGGTAAAAAACAGTGGAATGAAATGGCTTAATTACCTCCTCCCTGTGTAGATCGGTTCTCCTGATGACCTAATTATTCTTTTCAGGTGTGGTGCAGCAGAGGCACATCTAAAAGTTGCAGGACAGAGGCCCTTGAGGACTGGAGTTTGACACCCCTGTCACTAGAGGACCCAAATTTGGGTCCTCTCGTGAATAACAGGTTAAACTGTAAGAGTTTTTTTTATTTTATTTTTTTTAATTGTTATGTTGTGTTTTAATGTACACCACTTGTATCAGCTGTGGTTGTTTTAAAGTGCTTTATAAATAAAATTGGTATGGTATGAGTTATAAGCAATTCCTACTTCATTCTAGCCATAACTGCATATTAAGCACTTGTTTTCATTCTACATTTTAATTATTGTTTATTTATTGCTTGATGTGTGATTTTTTTTTCCGCTTTCTCATTTTCTTTATGTGTATTGTGGTCTCCTATGTTTCTGTGTGTCGTGTATGTCAAAATTCAAAATCTAGAAATAAAGTTTAAGCACTGGCATTTGAAAGACATGTTTTATAGAAATTGTTTATCAGTTTTGGGTCAGCATTTATTTATTTATTTATTTATTTATTTATTTATTTATTTATTTATTTATTTACCTTTAGCCAGATAAAACCCCATTGAGATCAAGACCTCTTTAACAAGGGTGACCTGGCCAAGAAAGGCAGCAACACACATCATAATGTATAAAACAAGAAGACAGCAACAAGAAAAATAGACATTAAAAATATTTTAAAAAATTTAAATAATTTGCAACTGAGAAACAGATTAATCTGTCTAGAAAATACAAATCAAAGCCCTCAACCAAGAGGTCAAGAGGGCCTAAACTTCTATCCTCCCATCCTCTGTAAGGAGTGTAGTTACTTTTCTGCCCACATGAGGGCAACACATCACCCACTAAAATCTGTAGCACAGGAAACACTCCCAAATATTACAAAAAAAATTTTGTTCCAAAAGAGAACAAACAAGGGATGAAATGTGTGGTTCGGTATAAAACACACATTAGATCTCTTTAGGTTAATCCATCAAACAGGATTGGAGCAGGCAAGAGCTTAAGGTCTGTGCTTGGATGGAGGAAGCGTCGACTCATCCTCACCGCCAGACTATCAATGGCAGCTGAGACGGAAACGGGTGGTGGTGGTGGTGGTGGTGGGGGGGGTGAGGGTGGTTTTGGGAGAAAGGGCTTTGCCAACTCTCTGGCTCCGTCTCTCGAAGCCCTGCCTCCCTCAGGCCACTCACAGCCAGCGTAGGAACGTGGCCAAACGCTGTCAAATATCAGCACACACTCACTGTAGCAATCTGTGCTCACTCACACACACGCACACACATGCTCCAGGACTGTTTTTCTCCTCCCTCTCTCTATGTGCAGGTGGCTACTTTAGGAGCGGTGATGAAGAGCCCAGACACACCCCAGTTTGCATAAATTAACTAATCATCACAGAGAGTGTTTCTTCTGAACAATTTAAATGTTTTATCAAAACACTTCTGGCTTGAAGGAGCCATGATTACCCAGCTCTGTGAACGACTCCAGTTAACTGTTGAAGGATCGTTGCAGCCTTCTAAAACAGGCCTCCTGTTTGCTGTAACAGGTCATATGCATGCAATAAATAGCGGAGCGGTTCAAGGTGAATTTCTCTTGAGAATTAAGCAATTACACTTTCCTGGAGCGACAGGGGCCCCATTTCATTTGAAACAGAGTGCTCTTCATTAGCATGTGGCATTGGGGATTAGCATGTGGGGATTTTTGCAGTCTGACATCCATCAATGGGTGTCCATTTAGTTCGGAGGGGTCATGTCTTCATAGCTTGAGTGTGTTAGCACACTAATGATTGACTTCTGGTCAGTTTGCCATTCACTTGTTCCTTTCTCTGTCTTGTAGCTAAGTGTTGCAATTTCATCCCTAGACAATTTTGTGTATCTACTTGATATGGTGTGTCTCATTTTTTTGTAATTAGGTTTTTTCATAAGCTCTAGCTGGGTCGACTATTGACTGGGTTGACTATTTTCTTGCAGAAAGAAGGTTCTGATCCAGGTTTCTCCATGCAGTTTGCATGTTCTCCCCATGTGTTGGTTGTCTTTGGTTGAATGGTTTCTAAACTAACCGGTTTTACTTTTTAGTTCTGTCTTTCTTTCTGTCTGGTGGCCTGTGCAGTGTCTATTCCATCTCCTGTCCAATGGCAGCTAGAGAAAGGTCTTGCATATAGACTTCCATATGGATGGATAGTGAGTTGAAGAGATAACAGTCATAAAAATGTTCAGATCTATTATATAAATTAATTTAGTTTTATACTATTCTTTATAAAAGTTTGTATTACACCCCTTTTTCTGGTTTCTTATATCAAGGTATCCCAACGTTTCAAAAAGTTGTGACTTCAACATCGCTAAAATTCTCCATTGCAGCATTTCTGTTATGACAGGAAAAGTGTTAGCCTGGCTATGCAATTCCGGTCTATTCTCTTTCTGCTCCAATCAGCAAACAGAAGCAGAAGTTGTGAATGATATCAAATTTCTGCGCTGTTTTAGAAGGGTGGTCTACCTATGACAATGGCAGCAGAGGAAGTGAATGGAGCCGTTGAATCTGTTTTGGCCACGCTTCAAAATAATGAACAATTAAAAGTCGGAGCAAGAGAAAAGTTTAAGATGTTTTATTGTTGGCAAAGATTTTGTTTGGCTAGGCACTTCTCTCTTCTCAGTAGAGGATGGTTGGTTACACAGTTTCCAGAAATTGTTTAACCAACAATTTCAGAAAGCTCCATCGATCAAACAGGCGTATTACTTCTGTCACAAACCAGTAATGCGATTGGGTAAAATCAGATCCAATCTTTTAAAACTTTAATAGAATTTGAAACTCAGTTTGCATGCGACTCTGTCAAACATTTCATGTGGTAATTTGGTAAAACTACTGGTCAACTCGAGATCCACTCATGCCTCCTCCTTTCAACACTAATTTTCTGCCACACTTATCTCAAGTCTGCATGTACAGCAGTCAGAGCCAGGAAGAGTTAAACCACTAAAGGTCACAGTTATCATCTACAACCTTTTGAAATTTCAAATAGCATCTGCCTAGAAAGTGTTGTGGTGTGACCTACTCCCCTCCACCCTCAGTTAATCCCCATCATCATAGGCAGTGCTGTTAAACAAATCTACAACCACGCCAGTAAAATCTCTACTTCCCTCCTGTCCCTCTGTTCCTGCCTCTCTGCCTCCCTGCCTGGCTCCTGTCTGTGCGTCATTTGGCTCCGCCACCTGTTGCAAAAGGAAACCAGAGGTAAGGAGCTTCCGCTGAGGCTGTTGGGTTTCAGGTACGCTCCCGCAGAGAGAGGGTTTTTGGTGTCGACACTCCGCCGGGGCAGCGTCTTTTACTCATCGTGGGGAGGGGAGGACAGGTGGAAACCCCACCTGAAAGGAAGTAATCTCCTCTTTCTTTCTTTACTCGGTCACACCTGTCTTCCCTCTATAAAAACACACAAAAATGAGTGAGGGAATAAAAAAGAGCAGTGAAGACTGACTGAATCCCACCACCTCCTCCTCAGTTTTCTCCGACTGCAGCACTCCACAATACCGTCTCCTTTCCTCCTCCTCCTACTTCTTCTCCTCCAGTCGGTTCCTTTCTCTTTCTGCTCTCGTCTGTTTAAAATGCAGCTCATGCACATGCACGCACGCGCATACACATCACCCCCCACCCCCTTCGTGGACGCAGTCGGAGCTGTGACCATGTAGCAGTTTTTCTCTCTCTCCTAACCCAACTCCAAGCCATTCAAACCATCCAAACCGACGCATACTCGCAAACCCTCTGTCCTAGTTGCTTCTTGTAGTAGGCTAGAGAAAACTAAATAATACTAATAAGATTAATATGGAGAAAGAAACTGAAGAGCAACAACTGAGATCTAAATGCACAAAGATGAAGAAATGCAGCCATTAGAAGTGTGCGGTTGACATAATGAATCTGTTTCAAGGTCTGAGGTTTTTTTTCTCCAGTTTCTAAGAGAGACCCCCTCCCCCTCCCTTTGCTTCCCTCTTCCCCTCCTCTCTCTCTCTCTCTCTCTGTCGCTCTCTCCACATCTCTGCACTCTCCTCTGTCAGTCGTGTGGGAAGCTCCATGAATGCGGCTGCACACTAGCAGACTTCTGCACCTGATCCCGTTGCGCCTCTATAGGACGAGGTAATGCAAGCCTCCTCTCCTCCTCCACTATCTCCGATCTCTTTTTCTGGATACAAATATATATTTTTTCCTTTTTAATCTAAGAGGAACGATTTACCAGTTCTCCAATTTCCTCCCATCATCTGTGCTCTCTGACTGGAGGGGGGGTGGGAGGGATGGAAGGGACGGTGAGAGCGCGGACTTTCCTGCTCCTATTTTGCACTGGAGCAGACTGAAGGCTCAGTGACAAGTAATTTCTTTTTGAAACATGTCTTATATGTAGTATTGACCTCTCTTTATTTTAACCCCTGACTGAAACACCAAGAACAACGTTGGAAATATGTTGCCAGGATGGAAAATAACCCACAGTCTGACTGGAGCGCATTGGCTGCTCCTTACCCCTTTGCGCAACTTCAGCTCATAACGACCCAGTATTTATTATTCCATGGATCGCTGAAGGTTGCGGTGCAGATCTGAAACCAGGCTCACAGTGTTGGAACCTCCTTTCTCCCCTGTTTTGCGTTGGGGGAAAAAACCTTTGAGAATGAGAGGTTTATCTGGCTGCATCCACCTTGCACCCTTTTCCTTGCTTCGGAGTCTCTGGACTCGCCGTCAACATCTCTAAAGGTAAAAAAAGGCAAAAGGAAAGAGGGTGAAGATCTCTACTTCACCATACTTCTGTGCTCTTCTCGCCTTTTCTACCTCCTCTATAAGCAAATGAGCCCTCTCCCATGGAGGTAGTACAGCCGCTCTGGGAGCCCAATGACCAGCGGGGAGATTTTTCCAAGCAAAAGGAGCCCGTCAGCAAGAGGCGCATCGGATGAAATCAGAGCCCCGCACCCTCCCTATTCACCCACCCCACTTCCTTTTTCCTCCTCTGTTACTCCCCACCCTACCCCCTTCCCTATTCCTCCTTCTAGTTTAGCTTGAATCGTGTTAAAGCTGCACGGGGGCATAAAGGGGCTGGAGAAACCTTGTTGCACCCCCTCAAATCCATCTGCGCTCTTACACTCGAGCTGGAAGGACTGTTTTGCGCACGTCTCCATCAATGCTGCCCCAAGTCTCCAGAGGGAGCCGCGCTCATTGTCACCGCAGCTTTTGGTAAGTCACTTTTTTTTTTCTTAAGATTCCATGATTTGAAGATAACCCAGACCCGTCTTTTCCTTTGGTCACTCTTAAAGGTTCTAAATTATCTCAATAGATTCTGACTAAAAGACTGGAGGACGGTCGCATCCAAGCATCTCAAAATTTCAGCAATGGGCACAGACCCAGTTCTTCCTCCCTTGGCTTTACATTGCCAAATAAGCTGTGTGCTGCTGGCTTTAGATGACACTTCATGGAAAATGAGAGCCTTTTGACTTTGATCATGTTGAATGAGCCAAACAGTCACGCTGCTGCCTTTGACATTTTTAAGGCGACGCATCATGCTTTCGGTGCCAGAATAAGACGAGAGGATCTGCAGCATTCATTATGTTTAAGTAATCAAGGTAGTTTTAGTCAGTCAATGAAAAGTAAGGCAATGCAGAACAGTGAGAAATGCTACACAGCAGTGTTTTTTTTTTCTTATGGAATATGAAGAAACTGTCTTTTAATGAATGAGATGCCAAAATTGTTTCATAATGAGTCTCAAATGGCTTGCATTTTGTGAGTGTGTGCTTCCACACATATCTACACCTGAGTGATTGAATGTTTTTTGCATGCCTCTCTCTTTCTATCTCTTTCCAAAGGTTACTAAATGGTTTACTGGGGGAGGTTTTCTAACCGGCGAGATGCTGCTCATACCCCTGCTGGCAGCCTTTTTTTCCTCCATCTCGGGCTCCCTCTCCTCATCCCTCTCCTCCATGTCAGACGGACCTCCGATGATGGACCCCACTGCCTCGGACCTGATGGCTGAGACCTGCATCGCCTGCTCTTGCATGTCGGTGGAGAACGTGCTGTACGTCAACTGTGAGAAGATCACCGTCTATCGGCCCACGCAGCTCATCCCTCCAGCCTCCTCCCTGTACCACCTGAACTTCCAGAACAATTTTCTGATTGTGCTGTACCCCAACTCGTTCCTCAACTTCACCCACGCTGTGTCACTGCAGCTGGGGAACAATAAACTGCAGAACATCGAAGGCGGAGCGTTCATGGGGATGAGCGCGTTGAAGCAGCTGCACCTTAACAATAACGAGTTGAAGGTGCTGCGAGCTGACACTTTCCAAGGCATTGAAAACCTGGAATACCTTCAGGCTGACTACAACTTAATAAAATACATTGAAAAGGGAGCATTTAACAAACTACACAAACTCAAAGTGCTGATTCTGAATGATAATCTCATACAGGCACTTCCTGAGAACATTTTCCGCTTTGCCTCTCTCACACACTTGGATATAAGAGGAAACAGGATTCAGAACCTCCCATATTTAGGAGTCCTTGAGCATATTGGGCGGATTGTAGAGCTGCAGCTTGACGACAACCCCTGGAACTGTACCTGTGATTTAGCACCTCTGAAGGCGTGGCTTGAAAACATGCCCTACAATATTTTTATTGGTGAGGCCATATGTGAAACCCCGAGTGACTTATATGGGAGGCTTCTGAAAGAAACCAACAGACAGGAGCTTTGTCCCATGGGAACGGGAAGCGAATTTGATATTAAGATGCCACCTGCACAGCCTGAAAATGGGCAGGGGCCATCCAAAATGACACCAACCACAGCAGCTCCAAAATCGCCAAAAACAACTGACTCATCTAAGTTTTATGGAAATGGCATTGTGGCTGGTTTACCCCCTTTTGGCAAAAACAGAGATATTGTTCCACGGACTCCCCTAATGTTGTGTCCACCCCCTTGCAGCTGTAAGGCCCATCCCTCTGACTTTGGTGTTAGTGTAAGCTGTCAGGAAAGGAGTATAAGAAATCTTGCTGATCTTAATTCCAAACCCCCAAATGCCAAGAAACTTCACCTAAGTGGGAATTACATCCGTGATATCAGCCCAACTGATTTCCAAGGCTTTGAGGGCTTAGATTTGCTTCATCTTGGCAGTAATCAAATTGCAGTGGTACAAAAAGGTGTGTTTGCTAACCTTACTAATCTAAGGAGACTGTATTTGAATGGAAACCAACTTGAACAGCTACACCCAGAGATGTTTCTGGGCCTCACAAACCTCCAGTACCTTTATTTGGAATACAATGCCATTAAAGAGATCCTTGCAAGCACATTTGACTCGATGCCCAATCTACAACTCCTGTATCTCAACAACAATGTCCTTCGGAGTCTCCCAGCCTATATCTTTGCTGGTATCCCTCTAGCCAGACTCAACTTGAAAAACAACCACTTCATGACATTGCCAGTGAGTGGTGTCCTGGACAATCTGCGGTCGCTGACCCAGATAGATCTAGAGGGCAACCCATGGGAGTGCTCCTGCGATCTGGTCGCACTCAAGCTTTGGCTGCAGAGGCTCAGTGATGGAGTGGCTGCAAAAGAGGTGAAATGTGCCTCCCCTGTGCAGTTTGCCAACATTGAGCTGCGTTTGATTAAAAATGAGATTCTCTGTCCTAAACTCACGACACCTCCACCTATCTCAAGCTCCACCGCCATTGTGACCTCGGTATCACCCGCAGGAGTCGGCAAGGCACCTCCAGGAGGACCTGTGCCTCTCTCCATTATGATCCTCAGCATACTTGTGGTGCTTATCCTAACTGTGTTTGTGGCCTTCTGCCTTCTAGTCTTTGTCCTAAGGCGGAATAAAAAGCCCGTGGGCCGACAAGAGGGGCTGGGGAACCAGGAGTGTGGCTCGTTGTCTCTACAACTTCGTCGCCATGGCCACAAATCCGGCAAGAAAGGGTCCATCCCTGGGGATGACTTGGGAGGTGAAACGTTCATTCCCCAGACCATTGAGCACATTGGGAAGAGCCATACCTGTGGGATTGGACGGTCCTCAGACATGGACGCCGGCTTCAAGTTTGCCGACTCGCAGAGACAGAAGATCATCCTGCGAAACTGTCCCGACAAGGACAAGGACCTACTCTCCACCCTGGAGCGCAACAAACGCCTCAGCACCATCGATGAACTCGAGGAGTTTCTCCCCAACCGAGAGCCCAGCCTGTTCATCCACAACTTCTTGGACAGTAAAAGAGATTTTAACAGTATAGGGATGGGCGGGTATGAAATCCGATATCCTGAAAAGACACTGGATAAAAAGATGAAGAAATCATCACTGATAGGTGGAAACCACAGTAAGATCGTGGTGGAGCAGAGGAAAAGTGAGTATTACGAGTTGAAAGCCAAGCTCCAAGGGACGCCTGATTACCTGCAGGTGCTCGAGGAGCAGACTGCCCTGAGTAAAATGTAGGAACTGTTTTGTTTGATGGTCAGCACTGATTACACACACATCAAGCCAATAGACAGGCAAACTCTATCTTATTTCTGTTCTCTCTTCAAGTCTCACATACACACACCCTATTCAAATCCCCTCATCTCTGACTTTCTGTCTTCATCTCTACGTCCACACACACACGTACACACACACACACACACACACACACACACACACCTACACACAGAACAAAAAAAGTGCCTTCTGGAAATCCTTAATGACCAATGCAGAGATAGACAAAATGGCTCCACACTACAAAGCTATTATTAGAATCAGAGTGGATGTATTTCAGAGTAAGAGACCTTTTGGATTTTCCATGTCACTACCTGTATGAATCCCGCAAACTTAAACAGGATCCCTCTAAAAACAAAGAAATCAAAATTACAGTCGTAGTATTTTTGCTGCTATTGAAATGGATACTTATTTTTTTGTTCTCTTTTTGTTCTTTTCCTCCTCCTTTTGTTGTTTCAACCAAATCAAAGGGTCTTGAAAACAGTGCTTGAGAATATACCTCGCTGCCATCAGGCCGTGTTTAACAAAAGGAAAAAGCAGGGGGAGCGTCGGGTGTTGATCGCTTGGAGAGAATCAAGGGATTGTTGAATCTGGAACGAGGTTTTGAACACTTAATGACTTCTATGGATGCTACCTTTTTCCCTTTCTGTTTTTTTTTTTTTTTTTTTTTTTTTTTTTGTTTTTTTTTTTTTTTTTTTTTGGGGGGTTCCC